CATGGAAACGCTGCTGCTTTGCAGCTGCGTTACCCTGCTTCCTCGGGCTTGGACCCCTAATAATGTGTGTGTGTCACATAAGCCAGTGTTTATTTATATAAAAAATAAAAAGAAACTGGAAAACAAAATATTTTCTCCTAAATCTATTTCAATAGGTCAGATCTCTATCTAAAACTATATATATAAATCTTCAGATATATTTAGTAAAAGGTTGATTTTTTGTTTATTCCAGAATTGTTTGTTGGGGGAAAGGATGCCTATAACTAGAAAAGTTTGCATTTAACCAGCATGCCATTGATGCAATCCATCCATGCTGCCAAAATAAAAAATAAAAACCTCATCTGTTGAGTTTCCACAGCTGACTGGAGAAAAAAACATCAGTGTGGGATTCAAAGGGAAAAAAATTGGTTCATTATCCTGGTATTCACTTGTGTTTGTCAGTGACCCACAAAAACCAGAAACCCAAATTGATAAAAGTCGTCTTGTGACTCTGGTCGTGATGGAAACTCCACAGCACAAACTGAAAGATGCATTTAGTGAACTGAAACTATATTTACTGGTCTCAGAAGCTGGCAGGTTAACAACAGCATTCAGCATGTCACTTTCATCCAGTCACATCCTCCTGCTCCCTCTGACTGCTCTGGATCTGTCTGGTGGCTGCGCAGCATCCAATCAGCACGCTCACAAACCCACACCTTCCCTAAGCTGTCCGCTCCCACAAGCTAGCTCTGTGCACCACTCACTACTCACATTCTCTGYCTCAATGATCATTCTGCACCTCTGGAAATGAAAAAAAAAAAAAACAAGGAAGGGGCAGGGGGCAAAGGAGGCATCAATAACCAAAGACCCACAGGTCAGTGGGGGGCTGCAGTTGTGTGTGAGTGTCTCCAGGAGAAGCAACCATCATCAACACAACAGGAGGGAAAAAACACTTTCACACTTCATGCAAAATACAAGAGTTAGAAAACACCACAGGCATGCTCTRTTAGAAAACAGCAACAAAAACCATTAGTTAAATAATAATTTGATACAAAAYATACAGTAAAAGCTACAATCAGCCTTACCTGTGTAAGCTCAGGAATGTCATTTTTATCTATCCCCACTTGCTGCAAAAAAATAAATAAATAAATAAAATAAACCAGGCAAACGATTAAAGCATGTAAGGCAGAGCTCAGGGGGGCACAGTTAAATACAGTCTACTTTCATTATTTTCTGATTTAAAATCTAATTTAAAATAAGTTMGATTTAAAAGCTACCAGCTGCATATCCCTTAATTGAAGGATGTGAGGAGTTCATCAATGACTGAGTGATGTGCAAGTTACCTCAGCAATTTTAAAGAATTCAGAAACTCGAGTCATTCTCGTCAGGAATCTCTTGTAGATCTCGAGCCCATCTTTACACTGGCTCCTCTTCATCTGGAAAAACTTTTCTGAGCAAAACAAGATGAAAACTAATAAGTAATAAGGTTTTTTTTAAATCAACAAATGCATCAACCCTAATGTGTGTTTACCTGTAGTAAAAAAAAAAACTACTGGGCCAAACGTGTGAGTGTGTGATGCATGTATGTTGTACTGCATGTCATATTAAACATTTAAATATAAATGTTTAAATTGTGTAAACCTGTTGACACCTTTGAAACATAAAACTTAATACATTAATATATTATTATTTAAATTTATTATTTTATTAAACATATTTAAAGGCACTTTTCATGGCATTCAAGGACACCGTACAATAAAATAAAATATTTGCTGTGTCAGTTCGAGGTCAGTTGAAGTAATTCTGAGTTTTTTATTACCTAGAAGATTGATGATGCCATCATTGTAGCAGGCATACAGCTTGATCAGATCCTTGAAGAGCAGGAGAAAGCAGGCGTTTATCACCCCATTGTTCAGGTCCTTTTGATGAACCTGAGGACACAAGTAAATAAAAAATACATTTAAAAATACAGTTCAAGTGTCATCTTAGGATAACGATTTTTGTCAAAATGATCTAATGACTAGTTTAAAGAAATAGTTTTTAAGGTGTTCTGTGAAGTTGTTTTCAGTAGTCAGTATCTTACCTGCAATAGACTCCACTGAACATTATCGGTTTGTAATATCAKGAAGAAATTCCTCAGTTAGTCTGAGTGGGGCCAGATCTGAATTAGACTTTTGTTGCTTTAAAACAACTTCAAACTTAAAAACTTCTAATTTAATAACATTTATGGCATCATAATATAGCCTGTGATTATTTTTTACTATAACCTGGTTGTTTACAATGAAAACCAAGTTTTTGTGTCGTCCAGTATTCTGCGCAAATTAAACCATGTAAAGGATAACCAGGAAAAATATTAAACAATAGTAAAGTAATCAAATATCCATAAAACGGCGTTCACTTGAACTGTTTAAAAACCGAGAGTGTAGTTTGAAAATCTGCTTTGAATCTGGCTTCACACTGACCTGCTGCTCATCTCCCCAGAGAAAACTCCTCCCTGATGTTTTTAACTTCAAATCCTAACCCTAACCGAATCACTTACAACTTCTTCTGCAGGTAAGATACTAACTAAAGAAGGCAACTCTACAAAACGCTACCTAGACTATTCCTTTAAATACAAATTTACAAATAAGTGAAATAATCAAAGAGAAAAGAGATATACAAAAGATATACAAAACGTTTTCTTTTTAAATGACCAAGGTACTAGAACCACAGTAAGAATCAAGATCCTGCAGCTGTTTACCATGAAACACGATATGAACTCTTCTTTGTAACAGGCTGCTGCAGTGATGGGCTTATTCATTTAGACATCTTTATACAACTTAAGGCCACTTTGAACAGGACAGGGACCACTGGGCATCCATTGACCAAATTTGGACTGGATCTTCCAGCAGTCTCTAAAATCCCCCAAAAAGTCATTTCTGTGGAAATACTCCACTCTACAAAGAGCATTGAAAGTTTACTGAGTGTTCAGATCGAACAGCCCTCTCAAAGAAGCCAACAGACCTCTGAGAAGCAGAGAGAGTTCACTGAGAGACAATCTAAGAATAAAATCCTCAAGTGTGATCACTGAGTACTAACACGAGCTGATTCTGGTGATCTTTCATCAGTCTGTGACTACTTTTGCAGAAATCTCCTGGTAAGTAATCCAAGGCTTTAATATGTGACTCCCTCTAACTTGGTCACACAAGGCTCCAGAACCAGACGGTCTTTTTTCATGTCAGAAGCACAAAGGAGAACAAGTGCTGTGACCCTCAGGTACAGAGTTACAGGTGACAAGTATACACTGTTTGTATCACAAAAGACTGACAGATCTGGACAATTTTGTTCTCTTAATAGTTACCTAAAGGTCTTTGCCCGATAAAAACAGGTGTGATAGATCAGGTCTAATAGTCAGAGTTTAATAATTATGTTTATTACAAAAAAACTAACTCAAAAGACAGTTTATTTTTATTTGAAGAATTTTACTATATGAAGTAAAGTGTGACCCCTGATTTACACTAGATGTGGTTCCGCTGCAGTGTGCAGTTTGCTTTCATTTGCAGCCCAATTTATACAGCGTCGCCTCTGCTCAGGTCCGCTCCGGTGTGAACAGAGGAGGTCTGAGAAGCAAGTTCAGGAAATGCAGTGATAAATGTGGAAGTCAGAGCAAAATATTTCATTCTGTGGAAGACAAACTCCAGACACAGTTGAAACTGGATCGCTGTTGTCTTTTTGAATATTCTGATAACAAAATAAAATCCATGTGTGATGTGTACATGTATGCTTTACGCCACATGTTGCCATCTGCTTCCCAAACAGAACGATACATTTTGACAATATTTGTCCATATATTGATTAATATAACTGGGATTTTGACTAAATTAGTCTGCATTTTGGTGACTTATTTTGAAAATATGGACGTTGTGCTTTTTCCTTTTCCTGTTGGTGCGTTGTGATCTTTGTAGATTGACTCCGGAGTCCAGCAAAAATTAGAATGTAATCTAACTTTGGGGGATCGCCATCCTCTCACCACCGCCCTGCGCCTCTGTGGGGAGCCAGTGTAAATACTCTCATTGATTAGAATGGTTGTGTATTTACTGTGGAGGTCCAACCAGAGTGGAACTGCTTCTTTTGTAAATTAGGGATAAGAGATGTCAGGGGTTATACACACATCATCTCACACTCTCACCTTCATTTATCACATCCTGAAAACCCAATGAGTCTTTGCTGGCCTGCAAGTTCCCATCAGCAAATTCACAAACACACAACATGACGTTGCTTATCAGCGAGCATCACTCACATCAAAATCCAGCAGYGCATCAATCTGGCTCTGCAGGGTGGGCATTCCTTTCAACAGCTTCTCCACTGACATGGTCCTCATAGCTCCTTCAGCTCTGACAGAAAAATAGAAACAAAAATGACACATGAGAATATACTCGAAAATATTTAGAGTTGCTGAAAATGGGAACAGCTTGCTTATGGGGCGCCAAGTGTAAAATGAAATGTTAAAAAATTCATTAACGTATTTTTCATTTAGCTCACTTTTTGAGCATTAACTTTTTTCCCACTAACATTTTATTGTTGTTTAGCTCACTGTTCTTACATTTACTAAATGTTAAACTTAAATGTTGAAGAACATATTTAAATATTAAATCCAATATCTAAATGTTCAAATATAAATATAAAAGTCAAACATTAAATGTTGAAGTTAAATGTGGAAGTTAACATTTAGGTATTTTGGAATGGAACGCAGCCTTCAACACAGCTAAAGCTTCATTACATGACATTAAACTTGCAGAAGCAGTCAGTGTCTGAGCTGCACTTCAAACTGCTGGACCACAGGGACCACCCATACTGATTTTTATGAACACATTTTGAATTTAGATTTTAAATGTCGTCTTTAACAGCGTTAGAAGCATTAGCAAAAGTTAGCATCAGCAAACCCGGATGTAGTCATCATCTTGGGACAAACATCAACCAATGGTTGCTGCTAGCCACTGCTAGCTGCTGCTAATGCTGCCGAACATAATATTTAAAATCTAAATTCAAAATGTGTTAATAAAAAACAATATGGGTGGTGCCTGTGGTCCAGCAGTTTGAAGTGCAGCTCAGACACCAGCCATAACTGCAAGTTTAATGTCTTGTAGGGAAACTTTTAGCTACACTGGAGTGCTAGTGGTTGCTATTGTCTCAGGATGATGTCGTTCTAAAATACTGTACATGAATGTTAACTTCAACATTTAACTTCAACGTTTAAGATTTAGCTTTTTTATTTAGATTTGAACATTTAGATTTAGGATTTAATATTTAAATACATTTTCTAACATTAAAATTTAACATTTAGTAAAAAATATCTAAACGTAAGAACAGTGAGCTAAATAACTATAAAATTAATTTAATTTTAACACACAAAAAGTGAGATAAATTATAAAAAATATGTTATATATTTTTTAACATTTCATTTTACACTTGGCGCCCCATACTTGCTCTGCTAACAAAGTGATGAATCTTATTTTCTTCTCTGCACTGGTCACACACTGTGTCTGATTCCTATTCTGTCTATTTTATTGTTCCGTGGTTGTTTTCTGTCAAGGACAGTTTATGGATGCTGAGAGGCTTYGTGTCTGCCAGTGAAACTGCATGCATTCACTCTGCATCTCATCGTAAAGCCTTCACACCAACATGGACATGACATTCTTGAGGAACAAATGACAACCCTTGAGGGACTCGCTGCTCCGATCAATCTGGAGGCAAACACGTATAAAAAGGAGGTCTTYACTGTTCTAGTTCAACTAATAAACTGTAACGTGATAAAAAAAATCTAAATAATGCTGAAATATTTACACAGCAAGGCAGTGGGATAAGAAAATTGAAATATTACCCTTTTTTGACTCGGTTAAAGTCGAAAGACATCTGTCTGTAGGCGAAGGCCTTCTCGTTGAGATATCGGCTGTAGCGTCTGATAAATGTGGACATGTCGTAGCCTGAAGAGGAAAYAGTCTTTATTCAGACAGAACATCACCTTTACGTACGCTGAGGACAACACTCATGCTGCAGGCAAAGGTGGCCCAAATGTGATTTTTTTCTCTTTTTGTTCACATGTAACCTGTATCAAAAACCAGTAACCAAGTATTATTTCATTTTTTAAAAGTTTGTTATGAATTTTGTTTGCTTAAAAACTGGTAAAGTGTAAAGAATCACTAGCCTCTTCTGCTGAATATAAACAATTGCCATTTTAACTTCAATAATTTTTTATTTGTTCATTTGTTTGTTTGTTTTTGTTGGATCATTTTAACTGTTTTCATCCATCAGCCTCTGAACATTTTAATATAAGATTAAAGGTTAGAATTAAAATGCCCTAAGATGTTCATTGCRTCTTKTTAGAAAAGATATCCGTGACAAGASGCTGTGAACCTGGTCATCCTAAGGGAGCGGGAGCTGCTGCTGTAGGCAGACAGACTTTTTTTTTTATTTTAAGACTAAGACATTAACTTTTTTTCCCCTCAGCCTTGGTGCAGGTCTGAAATATTGGACTGGTTTCAGGTTTGGAATGTCGGCCTGTAGGTAGGAGTAAGCATAACGCACCATGAGAGCCAGTTTTGTCCAGGAAGTTGCTGAGGTTAAACAGGGTGTTCCTAGATGCCAGGAACTGGAGGAATCTCTGCAGAAAAGAAAAGACAAGTATAAAACATTACAATGCTGCCACCTTGATGAGAGGCTGTGAAGATAAACTGGGCACATAAAGGCAACAAGACATTATGTTGTAAAGACAAACAGGCTGCTGTCATTTGACAGACAGACACAATAACCTCTGCTGTTATTTACTGAGAGTTTTGTGAGCTGTCGCAGACATTACTGAATATRCAAATTGCCTCATCTGTTTACGTGACTGAGCTGAACTGTGAAATGTGTTTGCATTAGGGCTGCCACGATTAATCGATTAATCGACGACTAATCGATTATTATAATAATCAATGACTAATTTAATAATCGATTAATCGTTTTCTTTTTTTTTGTTGTTGTTCTTTACTTTGTTTTTCTCTCCAAACTGCTTTGACACCTTCCACTGCCACATCTGCCTTTCTGTCCTTGACACACATGCACAGCAGTGGTAACTGGGGTAGGCCGTGGACGTCACAAGACATTATACAGACAGGCTCTGGTATCATGGCTACCTGACAACGGAGCTCAAAAGTGTGGGATCATTTTAAGAAAATGAAAGAGAAACCTGTGCAATATCTGCAGAGCAGAACTTGTCTTCCACAGCAATTATTTTTAGTTAGCATTTAGCTAAAATCTAACGATGGTTATATAATAGCAGCTGCATTCTGACACGATAAGCTGTATGTTTTATATTCAATTAATGTATGATCCGATTAGTCAACTAATCAAATAAATAATCGGTGATTAATCGATTATTAAAATAATCGTTTGTGGCAGCCCTAGTTTGCATGCAGTTTTCTCCCAGAATCCAAAACAAAGGTAAACTCTGTTTTCTTCCTGTCACTAAATATTCTGTTTTCTGTGCTGTAAGCTCGGAAGATAAATCTACTTTTTCAACACTGTCAGAAGGTTAAGGTTACTGAATATTAGATGTTCTCTGCATTTGTTCTCCTCCCTATAAATTATTGCTTTATTATCATTGTATTCTTTCATATCTACAGTTTAGAACCAACTTGGGCCATAAAAGAGCAGCTTTACATTCCATCATGTCAGCCTTTGTTACTCATTTAAAGGCTTCTCTCCAACAACTGGAGCATAAAGGGAACACAGGGGACACAGATGGGACACAAAGGGGACAGGTCAGAACTCAAACTGTCTCTTCAGCTAAACCTATGATTGCTGTTAAGTTTAAATCTAAAAGAAACAATTTTAAAAAAGCAATTTTCACCYAAAGACCTCAGCTACCTAATGTACTTATCCAGYTTTATAAGACGTTTTGGGTTAAATRCAGCATATRTAGTAGCAGAGGGTTGTGAAGTGATTGAGCATTTTCAGCTGCTGCCCGAGAACTCTGGAATGCGCTGCACATCAGACCAACGCACTTCCTGTTTTTAAATCTTCTCTTAAAATACACTGCCTGGCCAAAAAAAAAAAGGTCACACATTAATATTTCATTGGACCACCTTTAGCTTTGATTACGGCACACATTCTCTGTGGCATTGTTTGGATGAGCTTCTGCAATGTCCCAAGATTTATTTCCATCCAGTGTTGCATTAATTTTTCACCAAGATCTTGCATTGATGATGGTAGAGTCTGACCGCTGCACAAARCCTTCTCCAGCACTTCCCAAAGAYTCTCACCAGACTCTGTGGAGCCAATCCATGTGTGAAAATGATGTCTCATGCTCCCTGGACCACTTTTTTTTTTTACAAATTCCAGCCCAATGTAGCTCGGCGGAACTGTCCACACTATTTGTCTGATTGGATTCGCCATCTTGAGATGTACCAGCGGACAGTAAGGTAGGTGGAAAATTGTTATTGTCTGCCTGACCAAAAACATTTTCTCTGTTMCCAAACAACTGATTACAGATTCGGAAATACAGAGATATGGCTACAACTCAGCTAATGTTATTGTTTGTTAGAGGTGCTCAGTCATAGCAATGAGATGAGGAGTGTGACATTTCATGCTTAGTCAGAGTTGAACAAGAAATATTGAAGTTAATTACWACTGGCCCTTTGAGGGCCACCACAACACTCATTTAGCCCTCATTGTAAATGAATGTGACACCACTGGGCTAAAGTTTGGTGAGACAGTAGCTGAGAGTCATCACCAACACAAACTCTGATTRAGACACATTGTGCAACATCAAAACGGCTCGTCTGTTAGCAAAATATCTCACAAACCACTCAACAGATTTGAAATAAAACTTTCAGAAAGGGATTTCTGGATGAWCTTCTACAACTGACTAACTTTTGAAGTCAACCCAATTCAAGATGGCTGCTACAGCTAAATGACTTTAGCCAACACAAATGTAGGTATAATGCAGTCTATTTCAGAGATGCTGAGATATAATTTGATTTGGTATTWGTTGAGAGTCATACCCAACACACCGCCCAGTAYAGAAGCACTTAGAAGAAAAATAACTTCTCGATTATCACTTCTATCCAAACTACTCTTCTGTTTAATGCAGAGCCACTTATGCTAAATAGATAGATCCTAAGTTCAGCAAAGCCTGTAGCATCATAACAGACAAACTTTYCTGCTACCTATACAGGCTCCCCTGCAATACAAAGAAARACAATCAATATAACTGAAAAAAGCRAACAGGAAAATGACCCTGGGCACCCACTATGCGCCCATACACCAGCCCTGACACATTTAAAACGCAGGAAAAGTTTTTTTAACATCGACAAGTTAACCAATAAACATAAGACACAGGWAATACAAAATAAAGCAATGGAAAGGTTTGGAATTAACAACCATGGACCACACAACCGTACACAACTCTGGGAAATGTGGCTGAAGAAAGCAGACTGCAGAAAAACAAATGGTGTGCCCTGAATTGGGCAAGAACCCSTGTTAGACTTGGTAAAATGGGAACTTGACAATACTGCAGCCTGTGAATGGCACCAAATCCAGAACACTGACTMTCGTTTCATTTCCTGCACCTTAAGATCTCTGTCAGGTCAACGACAGCAAAGRCATCGCTGTCTGTCTGGTATGACTCAATATGATGAAGATGATGATTCCCAACATACACACTGGTGTTTTTCTGACTCTTTGTGTCAATTAATTCTGGTTGACCTCCAGACTGATTGGCTACCAGCTGATGTACATTTTCTTGTTGACTGTCTTCAACAGGAACTTGTGGCATCTGATTCATAAAATAAAAACTGTCAAACTCATCATTTAAAAAAATACCCTGGTCACTCCCCTGGGAGCAGTATTTCTTCGATCAGCACTGGTATACTGGAATGTAAACAATTATTCTTACCCTGCTGAAAGGAGACACATATATAGTAAAGTAGACATGTTGATCCTGTCACTAGTTAAAGTAAAATGACTAAAACTGGTCACAAAGTTTAAGATACGGTTGCATCTAAAATTCAAKTAAACTGTCACAAAATTTCCTTCAGAAATATAAACAAAATGTAGCACTTCCAATGTGATCTAGGGTCAATTTCAGCTGGAATATCAACATTTCTGATGCAATATCTGTATAATCATTGATGCTGTTTAAATAATTCCATAATAATATTTAGATAAACTGATATCAACAATTTAGAATGGATTTGTTTTAAGATGACAATAATCCACTTTGGACTATCCACAATATTTTCAGCAGAACCCCACTTCAAATCATTTGAAGTCATTTTAAGAACATCTCATCTGAGACTGAGAGCACAGGAGCGCCTGTCCAGATGGTGCAGCTTTACATACGCATGTCATTAAACAAAACTCTGCTAACATCTCTGAGCTGGGTCGGTTCTGAAGTTTSCTGATGAAGTGTGTCTGCAGAGAGAGGTGCTGGAGTCAGGTTAASGATTAACTGCAGATCAACTTGTCCAAAACTAAACCACAGAGTTCTGATAGTCTAGACTAACAGTTAGTCCAAATAAAGAATGTTGAAGAAGAGTTTGAGGACATCTATAAATACTTTCCCTCTGCTGCTCAGCAACATGTTGAGCTGCAGCAGTAACTCAAGAGCCTCCACCAATACGAGCCAAAGCAAGCTGTATTTTCAAAGGAAGACAAAATCATTCAATGTCTGCAGGAAACTCGTGAATATTTTCTTTTATTTTGTTAGTTTGTATTTTAATGCTGGAGCAGCAGATCACAGATGCTTCAGCAGTGAACAGGTTGATGAGATTTGAAAGAAAACATGAGACAAAGTGTTGGTTGTTCACGCCAGTCACATTCATCACATTATCAACAAACAGGCAAACACTTGCTTAGTGACAGCTGAAGTGTCACACACACACACACACACACACACACACACACACACACACACACACACACACACACACACACACACACACACACACACACACACACACTGAAAATATTTGGTCTTCTATTAGAATTTTAAACTCCACTGCTGACAAACAGGACAGACTGACAATTCACAGATCATGACTGAAACTTCTGCACACAAATCAAATTTAACAACTACTGACTTTAAACTCAGAATCTAAGAATTCTGATACTAAAGTCAGAATTCCAACTTTGAACTCAAAACTAGCTGAGAATTTTAAGATTAACTTCAGAATTTCAACTGTGATTTTAGAATTCTGGATTAAACTCAGTCATTCTGTGATGGACTTGTGACCTGTCCAGGGTGTACCCCGCCCCTCGCACTGTGACGGCTGGATATGGGCACCAGTGACCCGCACAACCCTGAAAGGAAGAAGTGGTTATAAATAATGGATGGATGGATGGATTCTGAGAGACAGCCCTAATCCTCATCCTTATTTTCAGCTGAAACCATGATCAATCTGTGCAGGTCTTGGTTCCGATCTACATCGTGGCCTCACCTCGTTGCCTTGCACCATCAGGTGGTGTGTGGTGATCAGCGCTTTGAAAACCACCACCCAGCTGGCGTTGCCCACCCTCTCCAGCAGCGTGTCAGCCATCTGGGGGATGTTCACGTTGGTGTCCTGGGTGGCCTGGATCAGGTCTGAGGAGGGAAAGAACAGGAGGTCAGGAGATGGGCGTGTTTCACGAGGTCTAAAGATCAGCTTCAGGCACAAAAACAGAACAKATGGGAGAGAAAATAACCAGAAGGATAAAATGTGAGATGATTTACTTTATAAAAATTCCACAAAACAAATGCTACTGTATATTATAGTAYGTACTATACTACTATTGTGTATTATCAGAGGTTTATAGTAACTAAGTACATTTATTTCGTCGCAATGCTTAAGTAGATTTTTGAGTATTTTTTACCAATTATTTTTAAATAGCTACTTTTAATTTTATTTCATTACATTTTAAAGCTATAAATGATACTTTTACTTCTTTACTTTAAAATGTAAAACCTAGTTACTTGTTGCAAAATTAATTATGTCCGAACTCATCATGAAAGATGTTTCTGCTCTAAAAAATGAAGTGTTGAATTTACTCAACAAAGTCAAGTCAACTGGCTCCACCTAGTTGAGTAAATTGAGCAAATAATATACACATATGGCTCAATTTACTCAACCTGGCTTAGTGGAACCAGGTTGGTTCAGTAAATTCAACAGTTTATTTCTTAGAGAGCGTGTAAAAGTACTTTTACTTTTACTTTCCCAATTTTTGTGAACAGTTTTATGACTTTTACTTGAGTAGTTTTCTCATGAGTGAAAATTATTTTTTCCAAAGTCATTTTCTGTTCATGTAATCTTACTTTTACTTAGTTATTTTTGAAGTACTTTATAGACTCTGCTTATTATACACTTTGCAGAACGTATTGTAAACTATTTTATTAATTATTATTTTATGAACTGCTGCAGTTTCACAGATTTCAAGCTGAGGTGTGGTAGTAACCCAATTCAAAATGGCCCCCACAGCCAACTAATACAAAACATAAAAATGGGTATAAATCAATCAGTTTTACTGATATTGAACAAAAATCTGGTGTGGTAGTAGCTGAGAGTTATTTACAAGACATCATGAATGCTAACGTACTACACGACGTCATTTTACTAACTCGAGTATTCCTCAACAAAAGATGATTTTAGTCTAAAATCTATTTCTTCCAGGAATTTTAGGTCAATAAATAATCAATTGTTAGGTTTTTACAGTCAAATACATAACCAGTCATTATCACACCTATTTTCTGCTACAGAGATGAGGCTGTTTGTGTTTGAGGAAGCTGCAGTTTTCACTGCGCTGTACTCAGATGAGTGCCTTTCATTACGCTGAGGCTGCTCAGTCTGAGTCACGCCGGCTTGCTTTGCTTTCTGCAGTTGGGCGTTTAAAGCAGCACAGGCAGCCAGAAAACGAGTGGAATATTCCACAGCAGACAGGAAGCACAAATAAAGACACGACTGCAATAACAATCAGAACCTCGGCACAGTGAAAGATGGCCAGGGCAGCAACGATTACATAGTGCTGAAAGAACAGATCGACCCTTTTAAAATAAATAACTTCAGGTCAGGCCTGTAGTTCAGCATAACCTGAGCAACAGTGTTGTAGTAAGCTTTCTGTACAGTTAGCTCCATGTTTGTTAGGAGGTTCAAACACATAAATCTGAACATTTTATTTTAAAATTGATTAAATGCAGACCAAACTAAAGGCCTGGTATTGTGCTTATTACTTGTCATGCAGGAGTTAAAGACAGAAATGAAAAAAAAAAGGTTCAGCTGTTTTGGCCAAATCCTGAAAATAACTATCACATTGTGAGACATTACACTCAGACTGTGTGTTAGGGATGACTCTCAAACACTACCACATCAAATCTTTGCTCAGTGTTTGTCCAACTGATTAAGGTGCAGCCATTTTTGTGTTTGCTAAGGTCAGTTAGATGTGGAGGCTATCTGGAACTGCAGTAACCAAAGTACTAGACTCCCTGACATCTAAATTACTACACAACTTCCTGCCACTGCTCGATCYGTGCCACCAGCTCATTTGTGCATGTGCTAAAAGAAATACTTACTGGATTACCAATTAATGTGCTCGATTTAGGAAAAAATACTGGAAATAATTTCCATAATTAATTATAAAGGTGTGCTAAATAATATTCTGTAAATAAATTTAATATGCATAATATACATATACATTCTGATAGAAAATATAGATATACGATGTGTACATTTTTATTTACAACTTGCAGACCTAAACTGTTTGTTTCGACAATTATAATTCATCTCATCTCCTGAAATTAAAAAAAATCCTGAAATAAAAATCCATGTTTTGCAAACATTGCCTTTTCTATGAAACACTAAAGCTGATGAAAGACTATTGAAAAAGACTGAACTCGAAGTATATATATTTATATACCAAAGAATAACCAAATTTAACATATTAATGTCCATATGCCATGTGTCTACACAGCTACTGCACTCAGGTTTCGTCTTTGATCTCCCACACCCCTCCAGCATTCAGTTTCCTCCCCTGGTTCAGGCGTCTCAGAAATGGTGTCAGTTTTAGTCAATAACTCAACACAGAACAAACCTAAATGTGTAAAGTGACAAATCTAAGTCATCACAACTGAAAATGCTTCAAAGATCACACATAAACGCGTTCATGACTCTTTTAGATGAAATTTGAGAAAATTCAGTAAAGGCAGGAGGCAGTGCTAAAACAAAAACATTAAAGAATTACATGTTTGTGCTAACTTAACTCTTATATTTAACATTTTTTAATACTAAAAAAATGAATATTTGTATGTCTCAGATCACAGCAAAGATGTGTGTCTTTGTTTCTTTTTTAATTTTCCAACAAAGTCATGTGCTCTGCGACAGAATGACATCCCAGCACATGTGTGTGTGTGTGTGTGTGTGTGTGTGTGTGTGTGTGTGTGTGTGTGTGTGTGT